AATGTCGTGACGCCGTGTTGAGCTCAAAAACAGGCTGTAGACCGATCTTGGAGTTGCCAGATGATGTCTCAAAGCTACTTCCGGCGTGATTCTCGTTGTCTCTTCAACACCGCTCCGTGTCCTACCTGGGTGCCATCAAGGTATCTACCATGACTGATGCAGATACCTATGTATCGGTACAAATAATACCTACAATGGCATGTACACTACGAAACATGCTTGGTATCTGCCAGTTCATTCGCTACTCTGGAAGCCCTTCATTTGCCGACAGGGGCGGGAGAGCCCGTAGCTTATGCCACGTTCCTGCAGCTTGCAAAGTGGGTTCGTGTAACACATTGATATCTTTGTGTACATGTACTTTTCCGTGGAAGGGAGGGGGACTGATCACTTATACGCAATACCTCGGCTGCGACCAAAAAGTCGGGTTTCTTCAGCCACGGGCATTGGGTGTTATTGAGGAGACATACGGTAGATGGAGGCATCGAAATGAAGAAAACTTGCATTAACGGAGTGGCTGGGGCTCAAATTCATTTAGTAGAGATGAGATGAATGTATAGCAGGCAGAGAGTGTGAACGCAGAATCGCACCCCTCGAGCTAATGAACATCAGACGAACCAATAGATGCTTCTCGTGTGGAGAGAACTACATGTATACTAGACAAGATGCTAATTGGAGTTGCTCACTGCAGCACGACCGCCGAATTTTGCCGCCTGTAACCACGGGATATCACGCTTGGCGTTTAGAGCATGGAGGCAACACCTCCTCCATTTGTAGACGAATGTTTCTCACGGATTTTGTACAAGAACCGGCTTTCTTTTGTTTATTAATTATTCTGAATAGTCAAAAGGCAGTCTCGTTGGCCTTTGGTGGGCTAAATACTCATGTTGATTGCCTGTCGTATACTGAAGAGCTCAGTCATTATGCATAAATTGTTATTATCGTTCATATATCATTACATCCACTTCACGGCCATAACCCCTCAATACATAAATTAAATTGAACCGACAAGTAGAAGATGAGAACTTCTCGGTCCAATCCCCATGCTGCGTATCAAGGTGCTACAGGTACAGCCCGTATGCAAGTCTCAGCGCCCCTCGTCGTCCCGTCCCTGCTCTCTGGCCACACATCAGGCGATGCTCGGCAATTCCTGGAGCCCATTGTTTCGCACATACTATCTAAACCAGCAATATCAAGGACAAATGGACGGGAACAAACTCAATCTGAAGTGGGTGAGACACGAAGAAGCAGGAGATGGATGCCGCGTACTTTAACTGTAGGTGTACTTGAAAGACTCTGATGTGGTGACGTAGAGAGTCTTGTTCAGATGAGCTGAACATTTCCCTTGATCCAAGTACAAGTACAATCACACATTTGACCACACATCGGGTGTGCCTTGCCTGTCGATCGAGAACATTCTTGCTCAGAACTTGCTCCAATGCGTCAGGTCCTCTCGCCCTCCGGCTTCATAGCACCAAAAGACCCCCCTCACCCCATCCTATGTCCTGGATCCCACACACCATTTCAATTCAGGCGCGATTCAAACCTTGGCTCTAACACAACTTTCCTTCCTCTTGTACACAAAGCATGAATCATGGACGATTTTCAAGACCGCTCCACTCGCATTGATTCGGTCTAATCCATGCCCGACTCGACTGCCGAGACGCGAGCTGTCCATCCGCTGTCAGCAAGTGGCCGAGTCGTTGACTGCTCGAAGTTCTTATAGGAGCCCCAAGCAGTTGATGCGTTCTGAGATTACCAATACATCTAAAATAAGAATTCCATGAAGCAGTTTTCTTGTATTTCTCGTTCAGAGTAGCAAATGAGCCTAATCACATGGCACATACTCGTACTAATAAATGTGAGGTATCAAAGTACATGTAATCCCGCAACCCCCCTTGCATTGAATGGGAATGCTAATGTACATACTCACGTAATTGCGGCACATGAGCTGAAGGATGGTCAGCACCCAGCGCCTCTCGCTGCCAAACGGTCATCTAAGGAGATGGTATGAGCCATTGCCGCTGCCTTTCCCTCCTTGTACATGCTTCCCGTTGACCCGGTTCAGCTGAGTCAACTCTTCTCAACACGGATATCCCGAACGAGACGCCTAGAATTCATCCCCCCTCTCAGCATCGCCCGATGAAGCTTGCAATCTAGTAGTACGCAAGCCACCATGCGCATCATGAGCCGATGATGCCTCACAGGTTGAAATCAAAACAGGACTAAATGATCGGCACATCTCGGCGAGCGCCGCAGATCTCGAGGCTAGTTTACGGGGCCGCGTCAAAGAGCGGCAGCAGGGGTGCTCTTCATACTAGATATTACTTTATCAATCTGAGCAGTATTACCCATCCATCCAGCCTCCCTTGGCTTGTGCTGCCGCTTAGTGTCGCTGTGCAAGATTGCCACAGCCGCTAATGAAAAATACGAGGCAACTTTGGGTGCTGGCACTCTTCCGTGGCGTCAGTAAGATGCGTTTCAAATTCTCCGCAAGATTTAGTGTTGCGGTTGTCGTAACTTCGTCTGTAGAGAAATGGATCAATTTTTCCTGTTTCAAAGAAGCCAGCCACCAAAAACGAGGGCAAAATTTGCCAAGCCGCTCGTGAGGCCATCAAGTCATCTTGACTTCACTAATTTGGTACATGATTTTGGCACACAGATACTCGGACATCGTCCTTCGTAAACCGACCCATGAGAAGCCCGCGTTTCTGTGTCTTATACTACGAGCCGTGGGGAGCTAAATCAAGTGAGGAATCTTTTCTTACCTGTCACAAAATAACAATCCGAGCTGCCACATGAAGCAGGGAGACAATATCCAGCTCAACTCTGCCGTCCCTCGGCACAGATCCCTGGCCGAAGCTTGAAGCCACCAATACCATTGCACTAGTTGAATCAATCGCCGAGCAAAATGCTCTAGGTTTTTGACCGTCTGTCGCCATGTCTTACTTCTCCAACCCAAGCAATAATGTCTAATGTTGGGTTGTCACTTCAATAGTTCTCCGTGGACTGTATCGAGCTCACTGCGGGCCGGATGCTGTTGCTCTGTCACATCGCATGCCCTGAATACAACAGGCCATCAGGTTTTTCTGAGGCGTTGAGCTGGATCATGCAGACAGACATTCACTGCCGCTCCGGCTTAGTTAGAGGCAATCTAGGGAGAACAGCCGCCAGTGCTACGCTATGGAGTAGATTTCCGCATGACTAGGACAAAACGCATCACCTTTTACTTCACCCCCTCGTTCTTTTTAAGTTGGTTTTTCATGCATAAGAAGAGATTACTATAATTGGGTAGCGCTATACGTCATTAATGCTCATTTCTAATCCTCCACATGCAGAATTGCTAACAAATAGAGTACACACTACTAAACGTTATGGTCAAAGATCACCTAAAATATAAGAACATTTTTAAAAAGAGAGCGAACTCAAAAGGAGAAGTGCTGTGCTGTCTATACAACAAGCCAAAGGTGTCATAACGGTATCATTATGCGAAAGAGGTCTATTTGTGTAAGTAAATCCATTGCTTGGCTTTCGCATTGCGATGTCGGCACTCGCATCCCTTCCTTCAACAATCTTACCTAAGTCGCCATTCTACTACTAAGCTCGGTTACCGTTTGACGTTCCATCGTCGAGGCTTGGACGCTTCAATCCTGTCAATCATGCATCTCCGGCTCTCGCACAGCCTTCTTCCCTGGAGGATGCTCCTCCCTTCATTTGGCTGGATCGCCCTGATTCTTTTGTTCCGACATGTTCTAGGTTTAAACCTTTGATCTGTCTTAATTTTACATGATTGAGTAAATCGAGACTTCTCCCATATAATCATTTTTGGATCATTTGGTACTTTCACTTCTTCCCTAATATCACCATTTGCCGGGTAACCGCGGCTGGACTGAAACCGGTGCTCAGCCCAGGCGAGCTTATACGTTGTCTGCTACAGCCAGAATTCAGCCTTACTAGTGAACCACCTTCGCGAGGCCGGAGAATCTACCCTGACACTGCCAGCAGTTCTTCTCCAGAAGTGGTGTCGTGAGTGGAGGGCTCATTGGAGCTCTGAGGGGGCATCTCATTGGCATTCCCTGCAACGAGATGCATTTGGGGGGCCACGGGTAAGCCCACGTTCAATCTTTTGCCACCCCTCTTTTCTCCGCACCCGCTGCGTATCCGGAGCGGCCAGGGTTGCATCGCAAGCCGGTTGCTGTACGAGAGGCTATCGACGGCAGGCGAACCGGTATCGAGCTGCAGCTGTATCCTTGTCCCAAGAGACTCGGCTATGATGAGAGAAGCATTGTAAACTTGAGTACGAGACTCTTTATCCTCTTTCGCTACCAATAAACAGAAGAAGGAGAAGAAGAAGAGGAAGAGGAAGAAGAAAATACTTCGATCACCAAGAGATAATTTCTGGCGTCTAACTTAGCTTCTCAGACCAAACAAATCTCCGGACCTGCGTGTCATCCGCACTCATCCAACCGCTACTTAATCCCTGATTACCCCGATGGTGTGGATGCAGTCCCTTTCTTGACCATTTCGAGGATACTCCGCATCATATACATTCGGAAGACTTCTACTTCAGCTCTCAAATCACTTAGACGACTCACGCTGCGGGAAGCTGAACGACGTTAGAACAACACACATTGCCGTCATAGCTTGTTTCTTGTTTGTCATCACCACCATACGAGAAGCAATACGTCTATGGTAGCTATCAAGAACTCCTTCCGAGATTCGAGTCGTCTTCTCGCTCCAATTATCACTGTGTCGACCACACCAACTTTGCCCCAAGTTCCGAAGGAAGCGGGCCTCCGAGGGCGTGCGCGCACGACAAATGTTCCTCCAGGCTAAACCTGAATAATTGCTTTTGCTCCTTCGCTACCATCTCGTTGTTAAAACCCGTCATTGGCAGTGGTGAGTCCACCTCCGTCTGACAGCAAGCTATTGAGTACATTGGGGTAATTCGGGACAGCTAACCGACGGTTTTGTGTCAGATACCGCGTCAGAAAGCATCTAACATGACTCCTGAACCTCCAGCCGTAAGTGTGCTCCTGGCTCATCAGGAATTCTTTTCAACTTTTTTGCTCGTCAATTCGCTAATCCTACCATCATTCAATAGAAAAGAGGTCCCATCTGGGCAACGCCTTGTCGGCCATGCGCCGGTCGAATGGTCAAAACTCCCGGCCATATATGCCGTGGACAGGGTGGTTCGTCCTCTCCCCCTTTTCCATATCAAGCTACTTGATTCCTCTTTTTACCTTGGGGGTGTTCCGCTACGGATCCTCTGCGCATCCGCTGCGAGTGAGATATGACACAGCTGACATGGGCCCTGAATGCTGGGCTGGCACTTAATTTAGAGAAGAGCGCCAAGTGTTCTCACTGCGTTGCCGGTCACCATAAGTGCGAGGACGTACGTGGTTCCTTTAGTCGTCATTGCCGTTGTCTGTATTTGGTATTCTTACTATTAGACTGCCTCCAGCGACGTCATTCCCTTGCTTACAAAACTCCTGCTGAACACCTCCTGTACATAGTTGCTTGTAGACAAAGATGGCAAAATCAAGCCCGCCGCGCGCGCCGTTGCAGCTGCATCCCTCAGAGTGTCCCAGGGCGATGAGGTCAGTGTTTCATTACGAGATTATTTACCAATCATGTTGATTTTCTCCATGCTCAGCATTAGTGTGCATATTGGGAGGAAAGTGAATGACTCTGCATGAGTGTTTTCTCACAACGCAAAGCTGCGTTGGCTTCATCGGCCTTGGCTAACAATCCCCATGTTGCTTAATCAACAGGTCCCAGAATACGAAGACTTGGCCACCAAGTATAACTTGCTTGCGCGCCGAGAAGCCAAGCGAAGATCGCCGGCAGCGGCTGGCTCTGCCTCAGCTGGCGGCGCTGTCGTGAGCACGAATGCTCTGGCTGAGCTTATGCGCCGGCAAACTGAAATCCTCCTGGACATACGAGCTGAGCTGAGCGCATTGCGCGAGAGGACTGGTGCGGGGACGCCGCCAGTGGAAGACTCGGATATGGATGAAGACGATTACGGCTTTGACCCGACGGTAAATAGACAAGTTGGAGAGTGACGAGTTGAATCCTTATACATAGAGCGATTTTTACTGGATTACAGCATGCTTACAAGGGCTTTCAATGCGCAATACTGCTGCTTCCAATATTTTTATTAGCTTGATTTTCCCTTTCTTCTGAAGACGGGCTATTGAGATGGAAGCCACAATTTTTCTTTTTTTTCTTACTTTTTCTTGTCATTTATATCATATCATAGTGGCTCAAGGGGCTGGTTGAGGCATATCGTTCGCACATATACGGAAGCGGATGAGAGGAGAAGAGCAGAGGTTTCAATTCCCTTATAGGCAACACTCGTGTTTTTCTTGGTGTATTCTGGATATAATTTGCGTTGAATAATAGAAAAAGTCCATTTACAACCCCAAAAGTCAACGTAAATAGAATCACTTAGACCAGGTGCTTAACCGGTTTGTTTTGCATATCGATGGGATTTTAGCCCGTTTTTGTGGAGGGAGGAGTTGATCCGAATTTACGCATGAGGATTCCAATCTCTAAATGCTTATTTCGCATGTGACTGCAGGAGATTAATCTAGAAAATATCGGCGGAGTTCGTGTTGAAGTTAATCTTGAAACAAGCTTATTCTTTAGGCTCTGGCAGACCTTCTCTGCGGCGCCAATAGTATTAGGATTGTGAGTTTTCGCAGCAGCAGCTATTATCTTAGCAGTGGTTGCCGTCGGTTTCTTATCGCCTTTAGCCATTGTGGCTGTTTGTGGTAGACTTCGGTTGGCCGTTGACTTGTCTTGTAGTAGTTGTTGCAAGGGTTCGTTGCTTTTGTATAGGGTGCGTTGTCTCGTCGGGTGGTCTTTTGCGTTGCGTACGCAATCCATTTTCAAGGATTATCGCTGCCTTTTATAACCTGACGGAACGATGCAACAGCCTATCTGGTCTGGTTGAGTCATTGATTGAACTATAAGTTGCGGGCTTGAAGCCAGTTGCGTTGTGCTTGAACCTTGTTGTTCGGGCCTTTTTGCGCATTTTGAGTTTGGTCTTGAACCTTGATCGGTCATACTTTGTGGCCTGAATCTTCGAGGTTTGACTTGGTCGGCTGTGGCCAATCAGGTTGAGCTACGGATTGATTCTGGATTTTGAACCAAAGGCTGGGGCGTAGCCTTCCTCTGACCTAGCTGTTGCAGCTTTACTGAACCTCTTGATAATAAATATAACCTCTATAACTAAGTAATCTTAGGTAAATAAAAATAATAATTACTTTAGGAAAACTATATATAAAATATTAAAAAATAAGTATACTTTAAAAACTATAAAATAAATAAATAACTCTTACTAAAATAATTCTACTATTAAGTAATTAATTAATTAAATAAATAAGCTAAAAATTAAGGTTTATTAAGTTAAGGAAGAAAACACCTTACTAAAAACTTATTTAAATAGTTATTAAAAGGATAAATTACTTTATAAATTTATAAAAGCCTATTTTAATATAAATATAATATTATACTTTCTTAAAAATAAAAAAAAATTATTTAATTATAATTTAAAGTATAAGTATTTTAGGGTAAATATAATAAAAAAAAAAAAGCTTATTTACTTTTATTATAGTATTAAGGATTACTACTTAAAAAACTACTTATTTAAGAAATATAATAAAGAGATTAAATTCCTATATTATAACTAAAAAGCTAGATTTATAGAAATTAGTTTAAAATAAATAGCTATCCCTTTAAAATTATTTAAAAACCTTATTAAAAAAGGTATAAATATAAGGAAAATAACTATTCTATAAGCTAAGAGCTTTAAATTTAATAGTAATATATAAATAATTATTAAAAAAGTAAAAGTAAAAGCTTTAGAAGGGTTTAATTAAGTAGCTACTATAAAGGAACTTAATATAATTATAAAGGTAAAGAAAGGTATATAAATAAAGAAGTATATACTACTAAAATTAATTAATTTTCCTTTACTGCCCTTAGTTATATATTATCCCTTTATAAAAAGTATTATTACTAATATAATACGCTTTTACTTTAAAGACTAGCTAATAGTTTAATATAATAAATTAAATTATAACCCTATCTCTAATACTAAACTCCTTAATTACTTATAAAAAGTTAATAATATTTATAAAAAAGTTAAAAACCTAATTATTAATAAGTAAAAAAAAGAATTAGTTATTAACTAAGATTTTAATTAAATACCTATAGTTAATATTATTAAGATTAATAGCTATAAGTAATAAAAAACTAATAAACTAGGTAAAAATAATAAACCTACTACTACTATACTATAAATAAAGTTAATAAATAAGCTAGCTATTAATATAAATACTTTAAAAAAAAGCAGGGCTTAATATAAAATTACTAATATACCCTATTTTAAAGGGAATAAAAATGTAGAATACTTAGCGGCTAGAAAATTAATTTTAAAAATAATAATTAAAAATAAGATTAATTTTAATATTAAAATAATCTTAAAAGTAATATTAAAAGTAGCTATTTAATTAGTAAATTATTTAATTAGTAAATTACTTAAAGTAATATAAACTTAGTTTATTAAAAAAAGGCTAACTTTAGAAAAAAACTTAACTAAGCTATAAATACTAAGTAAAACTAATTTTATATAAGCCTTAGTTATTAAAGGCGCCTACTTTAATATTAAGGTATTAAAGTAAATAATTATAAAAATAGGTAAATATATAATAAGTATTATAATTATTTATTTTTAAAATAAAATAAATATAAGGGAGAAAAATATATACTTTTGCCTTTTTACTATAGTAAATATAATATTAAAATTAAGGCTTAATAAGTATAGGGAATTAATTAATTAAAAGTAATATAAGCTAGTAATAGGAGAGGATTATCTTTAGGCAAATGTAATCTAACTTAGAAAAATTATTAAATAAATTTAAGATTTTTTAATAATATAAGTTTAATTAAGTAGCACTAATACTTCTCTTATAAAAGCATTAATTAATTCCGGCTGTTAAGGTAATATAATAAATATATAAATAGCTAAAGACTTAGGTTTAAAAATTATACTATATAAAATAGTAATAAAAAGCTATTCTAAGTACTTAATTAAAATTATAAGTAAAGTAATTACCTAGGTTTATATTAAAAACACTTAGGTTACTATTTATATATATATTATAAAAGCTAATATATTAAAAAACCTTATTTTAAATATATTATTTATTTAAGCTTCTTAGCTTATATTTAATTATAAGCTTAAAAATAAAACTCTATATATAAAATACTAAATTAAAAGTGTTTAAGTTATTATATTAATTATAAAGGCTATTAAATAGAAAAATAATACCTTAAGATATATCCCTAAGCTTTTAAAATAAATATTAACCTTATTTTTAAGTAAAAGGTTAATAAAAGTTATTACTTAGACTTACTTAAATTTAATAAAAATAATATTAAAATAGTAAAAATCCCTAAGAATTTAAGTAAAAAAATTATAGTATAAGTAGTATTATTTATAATATAAAATTAAATAAAATAATATATAAAAATAGAATTATAAAAAAAGCTTTATAAAAAAATCTAATAAAAGAAGTAAATAAAAAAAAAGAAGAAGTATTATTTACTTAATAGTAAGTTTAAGGTAAATATAATATATAAACTAAAGTATAAGAAAATAAACCTAGTAGATAATACTTTATTAAATAACTTTATACCTACTAAGAACTTTAATTAAAAAAAGAAAAAGTAGAAAAATATATAATTAAAACTTAACTTAAATACCCCTTATACTTCCTTTATTACTCTTAAGTTTAGATTAATTAATTATAGGATAAGATTAATAAAAAAAAGGCTAAAAATAATACTAAAAACTATTTAAAAAACCTTTATAAAAAATAAAATAAAAATTTTAATAAAAATCCTATTTAATAAAAAGAAAGCTTTATTTTAGGACTTTTTAGAAAATAGTAACCTAGATCTTAATATAACTCCCCTATAAAAAATTAAGGTTATTCCTTATAATACTTAGTAATTAAGAATAATTCTAATTCTAAAAGCTATAGTCTTAAAGGTAATTAATCTTTTATAAATATAAATTAAAAAAGGAATTTTAAAAAAAAGCTATAGCCTATATAAAAATCCCTTTTTTTTAATTTAAAAAAAAAACAGTGGGCTATAACTTATTAATTTAATTACCTAACTTAATAAGGTAACCCTTAGAGATACCTTTATATTACTAAGCGCAGAAGAGTTTAGTAAAGACTTTATTAATAATACCTTACTTTCCCTCTTAGACTTTTTCTCTAGCTATAATTAAATACCTCTTAATATTAAAAGCTATAATTATATAATATTTATAAATTTAATTAAACTACTAAAGTATTATATATTACTAATAGGTATAATAAACTTAGTAACGCAGTTTTAATAAATTATAACTTAGATATTATTTAATCTTATACCTACTATATATTACCTATTTTTAAATAATATTATAGTATAAGGGGTAAAAACTATATATAATAATAAAAAATCACTCCCTAGTATAAGGTAATATATCCTTAAGTACTTATAAAACCTAAATAAGATTTTAATTAATATAAAACTCTTTAAGTATACTATCTTAGCCCTAAAGTTTATATTTTACTAAAAATTAACTAATTTTATAAATTACTTATATAGAATATAAGGCTAACAGCCCTTAACCAGTAAGATTGTAAAGATTTAAGAATAGCACTATTATTATAATATATATAATATACGCTTATTTTTAGGCCTTATTAATTATTAT